GCTGTAACTGAAAATATGGATGGAGGACCTCAGTTTAGCTTGTTAGCTTGCCGCGCTAACGCCGAGCTAATACATATAAGGCAGGGGTCTCCAGACTTTTTCCTGTAAGGGCCACATAACTTTTCCCTTCTCTGGTGGGGGGCGGAGTCAGTTTGTAACAGAAAACTGTGACTATTGCAGGAGTGCCTAAATGTAAAAATGTATTGTTTTCCAGAAAGCACAATCAAATAACCCTCTCTGGGTTCTTCACAGGATGTATTCTGCTGAGCTAACAGAACATCTTTTAGCTTTGACAGTTTGTTCACATTCGGCCTTGCAGGCTATCATACTTGTCTTTGTGACAGGGTTCATAGTGTCGCCACAGATTGTATTCTTTGAATACCGCCACCACCTGTTGACAGATGAACAAAACAATAATTGTTTGTCCACTGCAGCTTCAATGTCCTGCATTCTGAATCAGTTTTTCTCTTTCCTAATCTTTTCACCATTATTCATTCTCTCTTTGACAGGGGCGGGTTTAGGGTTTTTTCTGGGGGTTGCCAGATAGGGGCACAGACCGCAGAAGGGTTGAACAGAATGTCATGTTATATGTCTGTATGTATGAAATAGTTACTAACTAATAATAGTTAATACTGAAAATAGTTCATAACTAAGGAACATTTTATTGCAAAAGTCCAACTTTATAATCAAATATAAATACACATATATGAAAAAAACTAAATGCTCTCTGGTATTGTTCTGGGGGCCGGACCAAATGAGGACCACTGATATAAGGCAATATAGCATCGGCGCTAAAGCTAACAGGCTAAGCTGAGGTTCTTCGTATTTTTAGTCTTTATTTTACAGGTAAAATAAATATTTATGAAGTAAAGTCTAATGTTACAACTAATCCTGGATCTTTTTAGGTTTTTAAACTTTCTTCTTGTTGTCAGATCACACTGAAGCCTTCCTGAAAGCTCAGCCGCTCTCTGAGGTTCGTCAGGCAGCTGAGAGCTTCATCAAGGTCAGCTGACACTTTTTATCAGAGAAACAACTAAATAAATAAATAAATAAAAACTTTCACTCTGTAAATAATTTATAATTCAATAACTTACTGGAGATAAAAGTCTTTTCTTTGTTCCAGCGTTTAGAAACCCTGCTGACTCCATGAGAGCAGTTTCAGTCTCAGTTTGTTGTCGGCTCCCATGAATAACTCTGAGCCCCCCCCACTCCACAGCGCTGCTCTCCAGCAGGGGGCGGCACCGAGCTGTGGCGGCCCCTGCGAGCGCTCGGCCTGCTGCCGCCGTCCCGCGGCGTCCGGAACCTGCTGCTGCTGTCGGAYGGCCACATCCAGAACCCCGCGCTGACCCTGCAGCTGCTCAGAGACCACGCCCCCCACAGCCGCCTCTTCACCTGCGGCCTCAGGTAGAGCGGGGGGCGGGGCCTCTTCAGACCAGAACCTTAGCTTGTTCAGGATGTTTCAGCTGTGACTTTTTTAAAATCAACGTTTTTAAAACTTCTTAACTTTATTTAGTTTATTTATTTATCGTTAAAGTTAATTGAAATTTCTTTAAATCTCTTCAGAGCTCTTCCTTCATGTTTAGCTTTAACCTGCTGTTTAGCTAGTTTTAGCTTTTAGCTACTGTTTTGTTCTGGATCAGGAGTTCTGGATCAGGACTGTAATTTTTGATCAAACCAGTTTTATTTATTTTTTTGTCTTGTTTCAGCCCGACAGCCAATCGGCACCTGCTGAGAGCCCTCGCTCAGGCAGGGGGAGGAGCTTATGARTTCTTCGACACAAAAACTAAACACACCTGGGCAGAGAAGGTGAGAACATCCAGAACTTCAGTGAAGTTGTTCAGTGTTTGTATCGTGTTTTACAGAAAACATCATTTCTGTRGTTTGTTTTCTGTAGTTGTAGTTAAAGTGGGGAGGGGCATGATTCATTGTTGATGACATCATGGTATGATGTCATTTCCTCATCAGAAACAGACTCAGAGTTGCTTTGACTCATTCATGTTAGAGACGTGGAGCTGTCTAAACACTTCCTGCTACAAAGCTCCTGTAGGTGTGTGTTTGTCTGCAGGTATCAGGTACCTGCTGATCCAGGTGTGTTTGTCTGCAGGTATCAGGTACCTGCTG